CTCCAGTGTTTGCTCAGGATTCCTATTCTGCTTCCATAAACATGATCAATCCTGTAGGTGCTCATGTCATAACTGTGAGTGCCACCGACAAGGATCAGGTAACTCCTCCTGCTGGATTCTGACACTGCCTTCAGCTGCAGCCCAAAGAGACCTTTCTCTGTTCTTTAGGCACGAAATAGCAAATGTAGGGAGTTCTAACAGCACTGGGAATTGGGAATTAGGACTTTTGATGGTTCTGCCTTGACAATGGTGGACTCCCCGTCTTTGGGTGTGTTTCCTCAGCTGTATTTGCTTTCATTTTCCCCCTTTTAATATGGAGCTGCACCAGGCTTTCAGAAGTACACAAGGACTGAAGCAATTTAGTATCTCTGAAGTTATTTGAACTTCTGAATTAGATGATTCCGTAAAAGCTGAACATCACATGTTGGCTCGAGCATGGAAACGTCTGCTTGCCACACGCCTCTGAAGTGTGGTACCTCATTAATTCCCTCCATCCCCCTTTTTTAATGTCATTTTGTTTGATACATCTGTACTGCACCCATCAAGTAGTATCCAGGCACTGGCAGGGACATCCAGTAGTCACACAGATCACCATGACAGCATCACCAGTAATTATATCATTTAAAGGGTGAAACCTCTAGAAGTGACAACAAAATAGGTGGAGCAGGTGCCTTCCTATTTCCTCACCAGTAATTTTGGTTAGAATAGCTGCAGCTGTGGCACATTGCTGCAAATGATCCACCAGCCCTTTTTTAATCACCCTTTTCAACTATTTTTGTATAAAAAGTGAAATTGCTTTTGAAAATTGCTTGACTGTGTGAGCTGTGCATTGAGACCCTAATGAAATTCATCCTTCAGCTGTCTGGTCCTGTGCCATGAGAGTGGCACTTGTCCTCCTCCCTGTGCCACTCTCACTTCTCTGACTGTCCCCCTCTACACTTATTTTCATTAGAGACTTTTTTCACGCGTTTTCACTGTGTAACTGGCCCATTTATTGTGAATTTTATTCTGCTTTGTGGTTTTGTTTTTTTTAATTGCCACCCATCGTACCATAGCTAACCCCAGGTCTTCATTCTTAAAAAAAAGAAAAAAAAGAAAAATCACTATTTTCAAATAATTTCACTGGAGACATTTAGACATTTTGAAATCTCGTTTCAGTCTTTCTCCCACCTTTCAAAATACATTCCCAGCTCCATGAAGTTGTGTTCCTTTCGTGGCAGGGGCAGAATGGCCTTGTCGAGTACTACATCCTCCCGGATCTAAACGTGAGCCCGTTCTTCCTGGTGGAAAACCCCAGTGAGGGGAAAATAATTACAACTGGAAACCTGTCTAGGTCTGGAGAGATCCACTTAACAGTGATGGCTAAGGACAAAGGCTCCCCTCCTTTAAATGGCACTGCTCTGATTACTCTTAACGTGTCTGACAACCGCCCCTTCGTCCCTCGGTTTAACAGGAGTGAAATCAGGTGAGGCTTTCATATTATATAACATATATATATACACTATATACATTCTCCAGGCAGTGCAAAACATAGTAAAGCTGAAGCTCATTTTCATAGTTTTCCATGCAGAAGAAAGAACGTTGGGGTTTTTTTAAACAAAATATTTAGGAAATTCTGCTGTTCTGGGGGTTCTGTGAACGTGATTTGAAGCATCACCTTTACTTCTTTATTTTGCAGCTTGTCTAAGCCACACTCTCTATCCTTTTCCTCTTGCACACTGTAAACTGTTTTTCCTTAGGCTTTATTCAAGGACAAATCAATGTCTGATAGAAAAGCAGGGCTTGCACTGCTCTCTGACAGTCAGGCAGCTCCAGCAAACAACTGGAGGGGAGTGGGCAGGATTTTCCACGGGGGAGTTAAATTTCAAAGTCTCCCCCTGCAACAACTGATGGGAAGTTTAACATTCATGTCTCGTTAACATATTTCTCATTTCTTTCCTGCATTAGCATTTCCGTTTTTGAAAACACAGGAGTGGATTATTTAATTTATGCTCTCACTTTGATTGATGATTCAGAAGCACTGATTGATTATAGTGTTGTATCTGGCAATGAAAAAGGTGAGTAGGATTTCCCTTATGAGTTAAAATATCCAAGAGAACATAATAACCTGTCTATTGTGCGTGGCAGATGTTGCTGGATGTAAATGAGGAGATGAAGAGCATGGATAAAAATTTGTGTCTTTTTTTTAAAAAAGGAAGCACACATAATTTCTTTCAGAGCTTTTCAGCATTGACTTTGTTGATCTTTGGCTATGGAGAGGGTGGTAACTTGCTAAAAGGTGGGGGGTTGTAGTCTTAAATTAGGAAAATTTAAGACTGAAGGAGCCAAAATAGAAAACTTGGAAATATATATAAAAATGAGCTCTGCAACAAGAAGCTGCAATTCTGTTTTTCATATATATTGTTCCTTTACCTGCTCAAGAGCTGTTTGGTCTGGGATAGGAACCCAGCTGTGATGCCTTTGCTGCTTGGCCAGTAGAAATGTTCCATTTCACCTTCTTAAGAGCAGAGGAGCCATGGAAACATCCCAAGAGCAACTAAGTAATCCTACAGGAGTAGGAGGGGTGCAGGTAAAATGGTAGCTATAACAGCAAAATTGCATCTTTTTCCTTTCAGGCCATTTTAGATTGGATCCCCCAAGTGGGGAGCTGAGGACAGCAGTTAATTTGAACTACGAGGAAGTCCCTCAGTACGTGCTTTTAATTCAAGCAACTCCTCTGCTTGAAAAAATCTCACCTGCTGCAGAGGTCCAGCATTCAGGTAACTTTTTGCTTTGAAGGACATTCCAACTTAAATCGGGGCAATGGACACCTCTTTTGTATTTGCCACCCCGTAAAGGAGCTGTCATTGCCTTCAACTGAAAAGTCCGATGTGAAGGATGGAAAGTTGAGGTTGTGCAGAGCAAAGCCAGCAGCCTTCCCTCCCCCCGGGGGCGCAAACCCTCACAGGGCCCTTCTGCGGGCTCTGAAAAGGATATAAAAGCTGGCACTGGACTCCTCAGCAGGAGCTGGAGAGGGCTGACAGAGGAGCAGTGCTGCCTGGAACTGCCTGCTCCCACTGGAGCCCCTGGAGGGCTGGGATAGAGCTCCTCTGGGCACATCCCTGCTGCGCTCCCTTTTGTCTCTTCACTCAGCAGAGATGCTGCAAAGCCACAGCCTGAGCCAGCCTTTGGAACGTGGGCTCTGGTGGTGGTTGTTGCTGTTACCTGTGTTTGTTCCAGGCCTGTTTGCTGAGAACGTGGCCATGCTGACAATCTCCGTGCAGGACGTGAACGAGGAGCCCGTGTTTGTGAGCGATTCCTACTCTGCTCGCATCCCCAACTCTGTGCCCTACAGGCACCCCGTCATTACAGTCAAGGTGGAGTATTTCCTGTGCCCTTCATAGGGACAGAAATCCTGTGAAAGAGCTGGATTTCTCCCACAGTTAAACTGGGTTAAAGGAGCACTTAAGCCTGAGTTTCACAAATCACCTTTTTCAAACCCAGGCCACGGATCCCGACTCAGGAGACAACGGCCTGGTGCTGTACAGTTTAGTGAATCATCAAACAAACGAATTTGACATCAATGAAAATACAGGGGAGATTTTTACAGTTTCTGTAGCAGGAAAGGCTGGAACATTTTATCTGGAAGTCCAAGCTGCAGACCAAGGCACAAGAAGTCTCACAGCCCGGACAACAGTCAACGTAAGGAATATTGCCATGGATAATCCTGATTTACTCCCATGTCAAAACTCTGGACACAAGAAGGATTAGGTTTAGTAATGGCAAAAAAAAAAAATTACTTAACAGCACCAACAAGTCTGTCTGATACCTGAATATTTGCTACATACTAGAATTAAGAGGTTGCCATTTTCACTGACATATAAAAACACGTTGGCACAAAGACTGATTTTGGAGGACAGTTCTTTTATATCAGAGGGGTTTTGTTGTTGTTTAATGGGTTGGGCTTTGTTTTTGTTGGGTTTTTTTCGTTTGGTTGGTTGGTTGGTTGGTTGGTTTTTTTATCAATCTGATAGGAACAAATGCTTTAGAAAATCTTAAGTGTGATTCTTTCTTTATTAGGTTACTGTTGATTCCAGTTCCAGTAGCAACATCGTGATGGTGGTGCTTAATCAGCAGACCAATGTTGTTGAAAGAAACATTGCCGAAGTAAAAAGGTATTTTTGAAACTCTGAAGCCTATTCTGGTATAATATCTAATGACAAATTTGGAGTCCATTTGGGATAGGGGTCTGACAGCCTAGAGGGAGAAGATACAGCATGAAAATCTCTATGGAAAAGGAGGAGAAAACAATGAGGATTATGAGACTGAATTTCCCTCCTCCTCACCTTTACTGTTTATAATACTCTATAGATATCACTGACTGGGCATTTTTTTCCTGTGCTACTCAATCCCTCAACAGTTTTGGGCAAAGAACTTAATTCCTTTGCTGGTAATAATCTTTTTTTACGTGCTTAGATTAAAAGACCTGCCAAGGTATTTTTATTAATATCAATATCTGCCAAGTGTTGTATTAAATACTGCTTTATTTAATTTCCAGAGTAAAAGGATCTGTCACTGCCCAGTTAATTAAAAAGGTTTTCTTAATATGATGACAGGGTCCTGGAAGATAAACTTGCATGGAATGTATACATTGTTGATGTTTATTCCAATGAATTTGAAAGAAAAGCAAGAAGCAGCACTGATGAAACCCAAATAGAAATTATTGCTTTTGATGAGGCCCACCAGGAAGTACCTGCACAGGATGTAAAAAGGTCTGTATGGCACAGTTTGGCTTCTGGGGGTCAGAGCTATGCAGATGGGTTTTGTTTCCCTGGAAGTTATTAAGGTCTTGGACTGGACGGGTTTAGATCAAATAACAGTTTATCTGAGATTTGGCTCAAGGCTTAAACGGATACTTTAGAATTCAGAAAGCTTTCATTATTTATCGAAAGGTAATTTCCAGAGTTTGTCAAAACCACGAATAAGGCAGTTTAATCGTGCAAAATAGATTTAAAAGTCAGTTTAAGAAAAAACAGCTGAAGCAGAAAGAATGTAATTAAAATACATTGACTTTACAACAGCAGATTGCTGATTAAAAATTTTACACTTTAGGTGTATTTTACATTTGTTTCATAACACGACAGTGACGTGGATTTAGAGGATTTACTGATCTCTCAAGTTCAGTTGTCCAAGCTTTGCAGCATTTTAGGTCACAAGCACCAGGGCTGGTTGCTCAGAGAACAGAGGGTTTCCTGAATGAAAGCCACGACAAGTCTGAATTTTCGGAAAAGATCCTGGCGGACCAGGGAGGGATATTTTCTTCTTTTCCTCCGGCCAAAACGAAGGCCTGGTTAAGTCATCTCATCTTATCCTTCTTTTCTTCAGAAAACTCAAGGAGCAGTCTAGAAACATCGAGGCAGAACTGGAGAAGGTGTTTTCCACCTCTGTCACTGCTACCATAGGGGAGACTCCTGCCGCCTCGACGAGCCCGGAGCTCATGGCAGCCATCGTGCTCAGCGTCGTCCTGGCCTGCACCTTCATCGCCTTCCTGGTCTACGTGGTCCTGGATGTGAAAAGGAAAAGGTACACAGAGCTCTGCTCCAACTATCTAGTTTATATCTGCAGCTCATCAGTTTATTTAAATGTCAGCTTGAGAAAGCTGTCCCCTAAGCTGTTGATGTTTGCGTGGAGCGTTGCCTAAGATTTGCTGTGAGTCACAACGCCTGGTGTGCAGATATTAAACAAACACACCACAGGTGATGAGAAGTCGTTTCTTCTTGTGCTTGTCACGCAGCAACAGCAGAAACAAATAGTTTTAAACCAGAGAAGCGTGGACAGCAGAAACTGTAACTGTGAAGGGAGGCACAAGTAGCTGTAATACACCCACACGGGTCTCCTCTAACGCCAGGAATGCTGAAATCAAGGCAGGTTTTGCTGCTTGACTTCAGTGGCAGCAGGGCCACAAAGTTGAGGAAAACAATTACATTTCCAAGAGGGCAGCGAATATTTACTCTACTACCATTATGGAAAAATAGGAAATGTTCTAAACAAATCCCCAGAATAATAATGAAAGTGAATATTGTGTATTAAACTTATGACACAAATAATTCGTCTTCTGTTTCTAAAACAACCGTGAAGCCAATAGTCAAAAATAATTTAATAATCTTATTTTAATGTATCTATCCTTTTCAGAAAGCGTGGGCAGCAGCATTTGGTTAAGAAGCAAGCTGAAAGTATGGAGGGCATTGATAACCCATGGGCAATGGACAAAAATGGAAGTCTGAAAAGCTTAGAGAAACTAGAGCACATGAATAATGGGTAAGTAGAGTGCTGATATCACAAATTTATTAAAAATAGCATAAAAAAGTGTGATTCTAGTTTATTTTGGTACCACAGGATTTTCTTTGGATCCTTCACTAGTATATAGGTCAGTTTTTAAGAACCCTTATAATGATAAGTTAAAAATCTCTACACTTGAAGGAAGCTTTTAATCTTCTATCAAAAATTACACGGGCAAATTCCTACTTACCCTTTAGCAAACTGTTAATCCTTATGCAGAAAAGAACCTTCAGGATACAAGAAGCTACTTAACATTTATTTCCCTGGATAAAATCCCACTAATTTTGAGATCACTGTACATGCTGCTCTCAGAGAGGCTGAGATTTCTGCGTTATGAATTCTGTTAACTCTCTTCCAGGAGAAGCGAGGTGTTATCATTTGACAACATATACAGCACCAGAGGAGGTGAGGCTGACAAAGATGAAATTCAGGCCCCTGAAAAAGGCAATTACCTTGAGACAATACTGCCAGATTACAACAGTGAACATGAGGATGAAGAAGCACCTGAAAAAGCTGAACTTGGAAACACAGAGGCCCAGCCCGCTGTGGCATTCATAACAAAGCAGGTAATGAGCTTTTTGATTGCAAAGCTTGGAGTGAAAGGTATTTTATTGTTACTCATCAAATAATTGAAGGAATTATTGAAAAAGTTAAACCTGTCACAGAACTGAAAATAATCTTTTGTGAAGTAATCCCTGGAAATGTTCAAGGCTGGGTTGGACAGGACTTGATCAACCTGGTGTGGTGGAAGGTGTCCCTGCCCAGGGCAGGGGTGTGGAACTGGATGATCTTTTAAGGTCCCTTCCAACCCAAACTATTCTGTGATTCTATAAAAATCTTAGAGGAGGGGCTGTTGTCCCTGAGTAGAAGGAGGAGGAAGACTTGTCATCCAGAAATTATGATTCCCTTCTGCCTGTTACGGAATGTGCACAGTAAAGGGTTCTTGTGTGCTGCTCCAAAAACTTCCCACCTTAAAAGTAATGCTTTGTTTGCAAACTTCACAGACAGAAAATATAAGTTATACAACTTCTACTGCTTCGAACTTTCCCACACTACCAGTTCTAACAGAAATTTCTGCCTCACCTGCACTGCATTTTCTTGCAGGACTCCTTTCTGACAGACACAGCCCAGAAATCCGCTCTTCCCATAACACCTCACCCCCCGTCACCTGCCCCTGGAAAAGAACTGAAAGGAGTAAAATTTTCAGAAGTGGCAGTGATTTTGGACGCAGATGACGAGCCTGAAGATTACGAGCCCGAAGACGATGAGCCTGAAGGCGATGAGGCTGGCTACGACATCTCTTTATAATAAGGACACTTGATGACGAAAAGCACGATGACAGGACAGAATTAAAGGAGCAACAATATATGGGGACGCTATCCAGATTTTAATTCTGCTACCACTGTTATAAGAGAACAAGCAATCTGCCGAAGGTGCTGCTCTGCAGGGCTGCTCCCCCAGCACCGGCGCTGTCTCGCAGCGTATTTAATTTCCTCTGCCGCGTGTCGAATAGCCAAGACAATAAACCCGATTCCCAAGTACTTCTCAGACATCCATTTTCTGTTCTCTGCCACCGAACTCCGCGCCGCGGTCGCTGCGTGAAAAACCCAAGAGCTCGCTTTCCGCTTTTCCCGTTTCTTTGACATTTTTTTCTCCCTGTTTTCCAGTTACGCGGCGGTGCCTTTCCGCCGGAGCCGGGACCCAGCCCCTGTGGAGCGGCGCTTCCCGGGCCCAGGAGCGGAGGAGCAGCGGGGTAAGAGACGGGACTGCCCTCGGCGGGTTGCGGCTCCCGGTCCCTCCTCCCTCAGCGCGGGGAGGGCGGCGCGGCCTCTCCTTCCTCCTCCTCCTCCTCCTCCGGCGGGGCGGGGAAGTTTCTGGCACCTTCTGGCGGCGGCGGAAGCGGCCGGAGCCGCCATGGCCAAGTGGGGCCAGGGGGATCCCCGCTGGATCGTGGAGGAGCGCGCGGACGCCACCAACGTGAACAACTGGCACTGGTGAGGGCCGGGATGCGGCGGGAATGGGGCGGGATGCGGGGAAGGAGCGGCGGGCGCTGTGAGGGGGGTGGTGGTGGTGGGGGGGGGGGGGGAGGGCGGGCGGCGCTGACCCCCCCCCCCCGGCCCCGCCGCTCCCTCATTCCCGGGGCAGGACGGAGCGGGACGCGACCAGCTGGTCCAAGAGGAAGCTGAAGGAGGTGCTGGAGGGGCTGGTGGTGGAGGGCGAGGCCGGGCGGTGCGAGATCGGCGACCTCAAACACGTGGAGGGCGAGGCGTCCTGCAACAGCCGCAAGGGGAAACTCATCTTCTTCTACGAGTGGAACCTGCGCCTCAGCTGGAAGGGTAAGACGGGGAGAGGGGGGAGCCGGGGGAGCCTCGGGCATTGCCGCGGGATGGCAGCGAGTCCCAGCACGGCCCTGCCAGGGGTGCCTTAGGCGCTGGATCGGGAGCCATTCCCTGGAAAAACGCGAGTGTCTCAGTGACCTGCAGCGGGTCAGAACCGCGGGGTCGCTGCGGGAGCCACGGGGGCCCGAACCGTGTAAATGCGTGTTTTTAAATAACCTTGAAACCCGAGCTCGGCGCTTTCCCCCCCCCCCCCCCCCCCACCTTCTCCCGATGTTTTTCCGCCACGCGTTTCTTAGCACCGTTTTCCCAGCGCTCGTTTTGCCTTGCAAGGAGTAAAATCCCTGCGCTGTGGATTGCTCACAGCTCCGTGCTTGGGTTGTTTTAGCTTCCCAGTGTGCCCAAAACACAGCCGTGCGCTTCCTCAGGTGGAGAGCAGGAAGGAGGAGAGCCCAGGAAACGTGAAATTGCACGTATTTCCAAAAATTTAGTGTGGTTTTGAGGATCATGAATTACATGAGGGTAAATAAAACTCTTTAGTGGGAAATGAGGAAGCTAGAAATAATTCTTGATTATTTGGGACGCCCAGGCGTTTTTGTTGTGCTGTATTCGTTTGCAGTCCCAGCTCCTGGAGTTGTCCTCAGCCGTGCTTTTCCCATGACAAGCTCTTTATTTGCAGATCAGCTTTTGGTGATATCAGGGAATTCTTTCCATTTTTTAGATGGCCTTAAAACTTGACAGCAATTTGTGGACTGTCCCTTGCGCTGGAGTAAGAAGCAGGAGGAGCTGATGGGAAAGCACCTGCATGGGAATTTTTCCCTGGATATTTGTAATGCCAAGTGACAGGCTGTTCCTTCCCTCCTTATTTCTCAGGCCTTGAGTGTTACTGTGGGAGGTTTGGCTGACCAGAACAGACTTTGAAGTCTGCTCCCACAGTAAGAGGGGACTTTAAAAAGTACTGTTGTTTATTTATTTTTTATAGTTTTAAGTGCTCCAAAGTGTGTTACAAACTAAGAGCATACTTAGAGTGTGATGTAAATGTTAGCAGAGAGGAAGGCAAACACTACACACTGTTAAATAATGTTAAAAATAATTGCCACCAGCTTTTTGAGTTTTTTAAGCTACGCTGAAATCACCTTAAGTTTTAAACACAGGTTAGTTCGTTGGGTTTGTTTCAGCGTACAAAGCTTAAAAGTAGGCAGATACTTTGTTTGTGTTTCTATGCAAATTGTTTCTAAACTCTCCTGGGAGAGTGTTTATAGACAGCTCTGACTTGGGTTAGATGCTCTGCTAAGTTCAGTGCTGCACCGAGTGGATCTTGTCTTTGAGAGCTTAGTTTGAAATCCTAAAGAGGGGATTTTTTAATCCATAAGAAGGAAATCTTTCAGGGAAATCCTAAAAAAAAAAAAAGGTGCTGTTTTTTTTTTTTCCCTAAATTTGATAGCCATTAGAGTTTTTTGAGAGCTCTGAATTCAAGGTGAGAGTTCAGACTGAACTGCTAAAAGCACTAATTGCTGTAATTAGTTCCTTCTACAAGTCTTCTAGGATAACTAGGACTTCAAGCTATGATTAAAGTGTGGCTATGTAAGGACAAATGATGGAGATCCTGAAATTTGCAGCAGGTTTGGAAAGTCCAGTGTTGGAAAAACATTGTGCTTTGCAATTTATATTAAACAAGAAGGTGAGCAACTGAGGTTACTTAATGTCTCTAAAAGGGCTGTTCTGTTATTTGTTAGAATATGCAGTGAGGATTTTAATGGATTATTGTACATTGTGGTGGAAGCTTTATGAAAACGTGTTTGTCCTTTTAAAGCAGTTTATTTCAACAGCAGGTCTTTGTGAGTGATGTGCTTCACAGTTAATGTTCTAAAATAAGGGATTGGCAGGAAACAAAAAAATAATTTGTTCTTAGGTCTGTTATTGAAGTCCCATGGGATTCAAACAAGTAATTTGATAGTTTGATAAGAAGGTAATAAAGCTTTGTTTGCATTACAGTGTCATTGGAAATGCAGAGCTGCACCAACACTCTGCCCCACATCATGTTGTCCAACAGCTCTGTTTGTTCACTGACTGGACTTTGCACAGACACTGTAACTTTGCTATCTGTGAATATTTTGGGAGCTTTGAAAGTTGTTAATAGGATTAGCTGGGTGGATAGAAGTCAGGTTTGTGTTTTGAGGAGCAAAACTTCTTCCTGCTTGCTTGCACTTCCTTTTTGGGGAGATTAGCCAAAAATAAGATTGGCTTTGCTGTCTGCAGGGACAACACTGTGTGGTTCTGCTGTACTAATCCTGGTGCTGGAAGGGAGCAGGGAGGAGCACACAGAGGAGGCTGGGTGTGATTTGTGCTGGGCCCAGAAGTGTTTCAGGGCTGAGACTTAACTAGTTTGCATGGCTTTTAGTGGAGCTGCCAGGTTCTCCTGCCTAGTTGAACCTTTCCCTGTGTGGATGTGGCTGCTTGTGGATTAACAGACTTTGCATCTTGTGCAATCCTTCATTGCCTCAGAGCCCGACCGGGGAGGGATCTTTGCCCTTTGCGTTGCCAACAGTCCTTCACTGTGTTCCTTGCCAAGAAACACCTGAGCCTTTGGTTGTGTCCTTGCTGTGATCCTGACCAGCAGCACGTGGGGTTCTGCCCCTGCAGTGCCCCGGGATCACACGGTGGTCGTTTCAGGGCAAGCGATTAAAAATAATGGGAGCGATATTAAACAGTAGCTGGGTCGAGCTGGCTCCTGTGAAGGTGAAAGAATCCAAAGAAATACTGCATTTACCTCATGATAATTCCCCCTCTGCAGTTGTGCTCAGCACTGGGTTGGTTGTATTTGGAGTTCTGCCAGCAGGCTGATGAAGCATCTTGCTGGGTTTTGTATGTTTTGACAGTGGGCTGATCAACCTGCACGTTTCTGCTGTTGCTTCCTAAGGAGATTTTATCATGATCTAAATAGTGAGCTAACTTCAATAACGAAATGTTTTTGCAAGGCAAAGGGGGGAGAGTCTTCAGTGTTAACGAAAAAAGCATCAGACCTTAAATTCAGTCTTTTCAGGCAGAGCAGTCTGGTACAGAACATCTCAGGACAGTTCATGGAGCCGTGTAGGTCATAACCCTTTAGATGCACATCCTGTGCTGGCAGATGTCAGAGCTCCCTGGGAAAGCACTGGAAAACACCTCTGAGACTCCAGGTTGCTGTTTAGTGCCTTTCAATCAGCCTCGAGGCAACTCCCTTCAAGTAACACTTGTGTACAGCTCATTTCCAAGCATAAAAGTCTTGCTATGGGGGAAATAGTTTTTAATAACGCATTTAAGAATTCGTTATGTTAATACAGGTACAGTGAAAGAGTCTGGTGAGAAACATAAGGGATCTGTTGAAATTCCTAACCTGTCAGAAGAAAATGAGGTAGATGATACAGAGGTAGGTGTGAAATACCGGTATGGCTGTATAGGTTCAGAATTCTTAAGTAAAGCATTAACCAACATACAGGCATCATATTTTGATTTATCCTGTCATTAAGTGGGATAATTACACGTGGATAGTTTATTTCATGTTTCTGTTTATTGTACTTGGAATAATGACTTCTCTCTGTTGTCAAATTTACCCGCCAGGAATGTGCACAATTTGCTTTGCTAATTATGGTCTGTGACAAATATATTAACTACAAATTGGAGAAGAACTCTGCTTGTAGTCTTAAAAAAAAAAAAACCACCAAAAAAACAACTCAACAAACCACCCCCCAAGCCCTAAGAACTTAAGGAATCTCCATGTTGGTTGTATAGCAGTTGGCACTGTGGCTTCCACAGATCCCTCAGCAACTCTTTTCTATCCTTGATGAACTAAGTGGAGATACTGCATTAATTTAAGTCTAAACTCAACCTATTTTTAGCAAAGGTCAGCTGCTCTGAGAAGATAATGAACTTGAAATTGCAGCTGTCCTGTGAGCATAGTAAACAAAGCCCAAATGCTTGCCTTTGTTGCCAGAACCCAAAAGGCTCCTGATCAGGTGTCTCTTAGATGTGTCATTTTTCTGTTTCTAGATAAATGTCAGCAAGAAGAAAGGGGAAGGTGACGTTCTGAAGGACCTGATGAGAACTGAAGGAACCACAAAAGTCAGAGAGGCCCTGAGAGATTACCTGAAAGCACTTAAAACAGGTAAGGTCAACAGCATGTTGTGTTTCTGTGTGGGCATCTCTCCAGAACAGGTTGGTCATACATTGATCAAGTCCTTGGGTTTGTATTGTTTTTATGGTTAATCTGTTCCTAATGAAAATACGTGGGTGAAGTGGGGAAACCAGATGGGAGTTTTGTGTCCTATTCAGTGCTCCTGCACAGTTCTACCCCTTCTCCACAGTTCTGGTGATCTTTATTGTGGTACCTGAATGTCAGGGTGATGGTACAGCTGAATTTCACACTGAAAAGTGCTTTCCCTCCTTCCAGAGTTTACCTTGGGAATGATTCTGCCAACAAAAGCCCCTGTTGGTCAGGAGCTGCCCACGGAGCGAAAACCAAGTGGGAACACCGTGCAAGTAAGTTGGATTTAGT